GTACACACTGCCTCCAATCACCAAATCATTAAATGCACAGAAATCTTCAAAGAGTTTCCCATTCTCATTCATCTCACCGAGTGCTTCTTGCCTTGTGACGAGTTCTCTTCCTGCGTTGTTTACTCCCAGTTGTTTAGTCATGCTACCTATTGGAATTTCAATCCCGGCAACTGGAGTCTTGTCCTATACTGATTGCAGTTGTCTGTAGAATTCCTCCTCCTTCTCTTCACCTACATTATTTATAGGTGCGTAGCGTAGCATTGAATGATTGTGACTTTCTACCTCTTGATTTGAATCTTGCTGTCATGATCCTGATCGTTGAGGATATTGGTTCCCACTGCATGAGATCCTTCGATGCCCTCAGGGACATCATGATAACCACTGGAAAACTCAGTGTGCTCGTGGTTGTCGTCTGGGTGACAATATAGGAGTAGATTATTGACTCCTCTCCAGTTGACAGTTGTGAGAGTTCACTCCCTTTCCATCTGCTTTCGCAGATTCCTAGCACCTCTATCCCATACCTTCTCATCTCTTTTGCAATTTGGGCAGCCTTGCCAGCCAGCTTCAAACATTGTGCGGACATTCCATGTCCCTGTGATTACTTTTGTTTTCATCGAGAGAGAGAGAGAGAGATGACACATCGACCAATTGACTTTCCGAAGACTTTCACCAACCGGCATCATTTCGCCTCTCCGATTCCAGCGAAGAATATGTTTATTTTAATTTTTTCATACTTTGTTTGTGCTTTGAAGTTTCTTTTGCGATTTGATTGGATTATTCCCAACCTTCCCTCTTTATCCAAGCTTAGGACTGGCTAGTAACTATTGGACCAGTATACTAAACGAGGCTGGGTGGCGTGATATTACGCAATAGTTTCATAACTTGAAAGATGAAAGGCATTGTTTATCTCTTACTGAGGAGTATGAAATGAAGTCGCGACTGAATTCAGTTTTCAAGAGTTTGAAGATGTTAAATATTATAATATTTCCTATGTGCTTAAATTTAGAAATTATTTCTCATTTCGTTCACCAAAATTCACGTAACACATATGACACTAGTTTTTTTCCACGCTTTAAAAAGCTAAATAACAAAACGAATGAGTTGTGAGATTTTACATTCCTTCCATCTACACAGTCATGGCACTGTAAGATAAAGACACACAGGAAAGGCTAAAAATCGAGGAAAACTACAGACTCAAGGATTTAAGGTAGGAAGTCGTGTGTAGTGTCTCAATTAACTGGATTCTACCTCAGGTCTGCCAAAACGATGAAAGAAGAATGGATGAGTTGAACGAAAACTTCAGGTCAAGAATGAAACGTTAGTGTTGCGCAAATGTTTGGTCAAAGCTCGTTCTTAAATAACAAGCACTCAGCACTTAAAATGGGAAATCCAAGCTTAGCACTTTAGACAACTAACTATCGGCTGACGAGTCCCAAATAGGACGAAGCGTGCCTCCTGTATTCCTTTGCTAGCCAAATTATTAAAATTTAACTTTTAAAGATTGTGGGTGGTCGCTGGTTCGAATCTGGCCGCAGTCAAGATTTTAATATCACCTTCAATCATCACCTAGTACACATAAATTATATATGTTTGTCAATTGCGGTGATAAGTTGGGCTGTTGATTGGTTATCAGACGTATGGGGAAGGAAAATTATTAATAAAGTTCAAGGTTGCATTGTGTCGAGTGAGTGATTAGTAGAAAGAATGACAGAAATGGAGTGGAGATGTCATCATAAGATGACTAATATGTGAAACAAATGAGATAATGAGAGTAGTAGTAATGTGAAAATTTTTAAAGGTTTATTATAATCAGACGGGAGGAAAGTCTGGTAAGTATAAACCAAAGATTTAGTATTTATTAGGAAATCGATGCAGGTGTTCAACATACGACGAAAAAGAAACTACCTTTTAAATTGCATTTGACTGATAATTGTTTGAGACATCTAGCCTCAAACATTTGTTCAGTAACCGAATCGATCAGTCACGATATTCATTATTAGCACAATTTTTAAACTCAATCAGAATCACTTAAGTCCTAGAGAGCTTCGATGTTTTTGTTCCAAGCTTGAAAGTAGTCGGTTTGAAAGAATTTCAACAGCATCATCTCTTTTTTAAATTTCTGTGATACTGGTTAACTAATGCGTATAGGACCCAGTTTCTCGAAGTTACATTTATCCAAAATGGACTTATTTCTCAATTGGATGGGTAATACTCACACAGTTTGCTTTGAAATTCAAAGAACTAAAGAAAATATTAGCTAAAAGCATCCAATGAACTCAGAGAGATTACTCATTTGATACTCAAGCACCGTAAATTAAACAATGAAACTTAATTCACGTTGGTGACATTGGGTGGCTTTTAACTAAATCTGTTCCTGATAATTTGGTTGATTGCGGTTAGCAGAAGAATCCAGGATGCGCATTCCGTCCTGTTTGGAAATCATCAGTTGAATGCACCTACACCCCAGTGATGTACCCATTAAGACTCAAACCTCGTACCCATCACTTCAAACGCCGAGGCGTTATCCACAATGCCACGGAGGAACGATAACCATTTCGTGTACAACGGGTAGTTGTTACTACTGTTTATTGACATACTTGTTCTTCTCTATTGTTTTGTTGGATTGAATTGTTCGACCTCTATTGGCACAACCAACCAAATTATCATGATTAACATTCAGGCAGTATCGAGGCATCCGCATAGCAGCCCATATGCCAATAGAGGTCGAGCAATTCAGTCCAACAAAACAACGGAGAATGACAAGTATGCCAATAAATAGTAATAAATCTGTTCCTGTTGTAAAAGATAAACAACGAAAAATCACTTGCTTTTTAGATATTTCAACCTGGACGTTGTGTGACGTTTTACAACTCTATTTATAACTGCCGAATATCCTTTTCAGTGAATTGTAAGAAGATTATTAATTCGGCCACTTGGTGATAAAGAACAGGAATATCATGTAATAACAAAATGAGTTGAACTCAGCTGAGCGGTCATCAAAATCTTATACGAACAGAAAAAAGGTCCGATCAAAAGATGTCATCGGACTAGAGACAGAGTAAAATATCACGGGAAAAAAATTTTGTCACTGTTTCTTTTTAAACCCGTAACTCCAGTCTCAGCTGTTTGATCGTTACGGCCACAACGAACTTGAGAAAGTGTGAACTACTTGGTTTATTAGTTGCCTTGAAGGATTCTGTGTCAATAAAATGTCAAGTGGGTGCACTACTGAAATCAGTTGTTCTCCCGAGGCACAGGTTTCTTGATACATGTTCAAAGAATTCCAAGTATGCCTTTCTCTTCTCCCTTCCTGTTTAACTAGTATTTGTATGCTGCACTAGAGACTGTATGGAAAGGGAACCTACTGACTTTGGATAGTATCAAGAAGTATGTTGTTCTGTAGGGATGGACCAACTTAGCTTCAGCATATGTTCTATTTACTGCAGCTTTCAGCCTTCTATAAATTCTTACAGAGACACCAAAACCTTTGAAGTTGAGTTCAATAAAAACAGGTTTCTTGCTTATTATAATTAGCTTTGATTTATTGCCTTTAGACCTTCCTTATTTCTCGATCACTTTATGTTGGTAACCTTTGAATCACGAGACCTTTTAAATACTCAGCAAATCTTTTTTCTAATTTATTACATGGAAATATCTTCCGAGCTGTGGTAACATATTTTATTCTTTGTCTTATCCAATGACATTATGTTAAGACTGGACATTTTTTCTGTTCCTACACAGTCTTGTTGATTTTTCTACCAAGTTCAATTCATTTTGTTATTACATAATTTTTCTTTTCCTCATCGTCAATTAGCTGACTTGCTAGTCCCCTAATGTAACGTTTCATTACTATTTATATTACTTTTCTCTAATTCGCTGCTGAAACATCTAACTGAAGCTTCACAGCATTTCTTGTTGATTTTATCCGGATTTTTGTACTCTTTGTTAAATCATGTTATTTCCGGTTGACTAACTTCATGTAACTCTAGAAAGTATGTTCTGATTCTTTTGTAATATGTCATTTAAATATTTTAGGTTGTAAACAGCTGACGAGAAACCAGTGAAATAAAATAGCACCATGTTATTCTACTTTAATCGTTGTTCTTTCAAACCTCAGAATTGCAAATAATCAGTCTATTCCAACTGAATAAGACAAATAGTCCATTCAACTAAAAGAGCACTGTTTCATCACTGGATGAATTGATGAAGTGAGAGTATATTTGCTTCGACTTAGTCTCTATCTGTCCATTTAGTCATCTCAAAAATACGAATCCTCTCTTGGATATCTCTTTTGAAGACTGACATTTTCACAACTCTAACCGTTTCTATAAACTCCTTGTTCATGATATTATATCTTGGTAAAATATTTTACTTTACATAGTTCATTCATTGCAAGACCATTGTATCTAGGATGAGATACCAATAGCAGGTTCTCAGTCAACTTACAATCTCTTTCAAAAAAATTATAAAATTCACAAAATTATCACATGCAAATCCATCTTAAAAATAAAGGATTGACAATATTATCATACCACAGACTTCAGTTTGAGCGTTCACTTCACCTTACACTCATAGAATAATGATCTGTTAGGAAAGTCACTATCTGGTATGGACTGTGAAAGCTAATCATTAGGATACCTATCAGATTCGAAAGAATATCTTTTTCATTTTAATGAGGAAGTTCCATGAGTAATCATAGAAAAACTCATGAATGTTTGCTTTTTGAAAAGGAGTATATCGGCTTAGTATATTTTTCAGAATCGACTTTTTTCTCACATTGTTTCCTAAATGGAAATTTTGTGGAGAATGACACCGGCTTATTGTCGTTTTTACATTATAAACGTTTTCATCATACATACAAGGAGACCACTGTCTCCATTTTAACAATTCCCTATTGAAGATATGTCAAATTTGCATAACGAATAGGTTATTGTGAGCAGACTTACAAAAGTGCATAATTATCACTCCCATTTTTTCCACTTTCATCCTCTTTTACACAGGCTTCGCCACACACTGTACAGTTTGTTCTGGTCTATGTTTAGTCAAGTTAGTATAGCAAATTACCTATTCGTAAACCAGGTGAGTTACTTGATTATTATTGAGTTAAAAAACGTCGTAATGCAAATATTTCTTTCATGTCAAACAGTGATCAATAAGACCCTAGAAGACACCCTGATTTTTGGGGTTAAATTATCATCTCCTACTTACACTGATAACTTTCAAAATAAAAAGAAACTATAACCGACTGTTTATGTGAGTCCTGGGCAATCCAAACACCTAATTCTGCTAACTTTAACATATGTTCTAACTGCTATCTGTTAAAACCCCTTCCTAAATCATAAAATAGGTGAGATTAGTAACCTTAAAGTATTTACTACTTGTCGACAATTCTACTACTAAAATTATTATCAGTTCATGTGGACTGACGTAGCTTAGATATTCAAAAAGTTCAAATTACATCATTTTTGAAGTGTTGCATTTCTGTTAAACCGAGTTTTGCCATTTTCACAATAAGGAAACAAGTTTATAGAAATTATTGGTTTGATTCTAGGCTTTACTAAAACATTAGCTATTTACTTTTAAGGCATTTGAAAAATTAGGTTGCTTGAGAGTGATCAGTCAGGTTGACTCAAGGTGAAAATGGAGAACCTCCAGATGATGTATGAGTCCTTTCAACAGAGCTGGTGACTGCTATCAAGCGATTACAGCTACCTATAGTTTCTATACTTATGTCTTGCGCAGTTTATTCACTAGGTATTTGGATGCTAGTCTCCAATTTCAAGGTCGCTAGGATGTGTAGTCTAACAATTTCAGCTTAAGAAGAAAAATATGGCAAACTTCAGTGGTCGCATTTCACTTTGTCATAGCATACTCACTAAAAGCTGTAAAAATCTCATCTTGACATAGCATAACAAGCATATCATTTAGACATGATAAATATCATATAAACCTCCAGTTCTCCGCCAATGACAGTAAACTATATGATATTTTACTGTCCTTGGTATAAAGATGAATACCATTCAGTTCAATAGAAATTTTCAGTTAAATAATATTTTATTAGACGTCAGTAGTTATCTCTGAGACAGGTAAAATTCAGATGGGGTACATTAGCGTAACTGCGCAACAATTAGCATCTGTGTGGATACTTGAAGCTGACTTGTTGAAAACCTATATTTCTTTTCATCATACACTACCCAGATATCTCAAACCCTACTTCCTTTCACGTGAGATTATCATCTGAAAATGAATAACAATTACATGAATCTAGAAATACAAATATATTTGTTAAATTCTTACTCCAGTTTGTTCGACTCAGTATAAAATCTAAAATCAATACTTCCAACTGAACACTGAACAGTGATTTCATATCGGATGAGACCTTTGCCTTTAAATAAAACAGGATAAACTTTAAAACACATTACCCTGAAACAAGGACTAGTTCACTATTAAATTTTCTCCTTTTTTAATTCATTTAAAAATGTAAGCTCACATCATACTACATAAAACTGAATATTTAAACAAAAGCTGAAAATGATGAAAACAATTACCGCCATATTTTATCTGGATATAAATTAATCAACCATATGCATATATATATATATATATATATATATATATATATATATATATATATACATATATATATATATATATATATGCGTGTGTAGACTCTTATGAGCCTGCAAGCTTGCTAAAGCAAACCTTCCATTTCTGTTAACAATACAAAAAGGGAAAGTCCGAATGAGGAATGAAATTTTTTCTCGGGGAAAGAATACTATCTATATAAATACCATGGATATAATTATCTTGCAGGTAGATTTGAAGACAAATCTTTCAATTAAGATGAATAAATTTTCAAGTCGTATCCTCCGTATAGCAATTTTTATGGTTAGTAACTTGGCAAATTCAGTCTACAGACGTTTTGTAATGTGACAGCAAGACTCAGTATTTCACCAATTAGGTAGAAAATATATACGATAGATTCAGAACCAAAAGGTATGCACAAGAGAAAACATAGAAAACAGTTCGGGTCAGCTTGAAACATTGTAAAATGTCCTGTAGTCACTAGAATTTAACAAATCTACTATGATCATAGAAGTGAGTTATCACAACAGTGGGGGTTGGGCTCGATGATGGCACTTTAGTTCCAGAGGCTAGACAGTGGTATTTTTTGTAGACATATTGCTAGTTGAAGTACATAGAGCTGTCACGTCGTAAGACACCATCAGTTCGTCACTGTCAATATGGATATGCTACTTCTTTTCCAAAAACTGTTGAAGAGCTGATACAGTGGTCACATGATTCTATAAGATATTTTAGTTTTCTGAAGAGTTCTTCTGAAATATTGTATGTTGGGGTTCCTGGGAGTGAAACAATTACTTGTAGTGGGATGTTTGAATTATGCATTTCCAATCTTCCATAGAAAAGTGGGAGAATAGGTCCACTGGTTTTCATTCACCATTTCTCTTGTTTTGTAATCTATCCTGCTTTGACAAGTTTCTTCAAGATCTTGGTGATATGAAAGTCAAGCTTTTGAAAAGGACTTGTCTCAGTTTGTTGGCATACATTTCGGTCCATGAGTACATTTACCACCTTTTTGATTTAATCGTCTTTATCCATGACAACCGTGGTGCGTTCTTTGTCAGCTGTAAGCATAACGATGTTCTTTTTATTCCTCAGTTTCTTAAAAGCCTTTTATTCTTCACTGGTTAGTTGAGTGCAATTTTGCTTCCGCCTGGTCAGGGGTATGCTTACTTTTCTTGTTCCCTGTTGGGTCTCATTGTTCAGTCCTGAAGTTTTCAGTGACGACTGTAGGGATATGAAGAATTTTGGTCCTTAAGTGTCTCCTGGATTGCAATTTAGTCCTTTCTGAAAGCAAATTTCTTTGGATTCAGTCAGAGGTTGTTTGGACAAAGTGATAACGCGGCCACTTGCTTTTTTCCCTTCTGATGCTCGTAGTTGTTAAATCTTGACAAGCTTCTCTCGAAAGACGCTTCTTCTTTTTAGTGGTGTTCTGAAGTTTCATCTTTTGGAGTGTCAACAGTCTGTTGATATTTTCAAATTCTGTAATGAGTATCGGTGATCATCAGTTGTACCATGTCTGCCACTTCTCTCCACCATTTCTCAGCCTAATAAATAGTCGATAGGTGTTCTGTATCTGACGCCAGTTGGCAGAACATACCGACTTAGACAGTCGTGTGGAAAATATATTTGTTCTGCTGCAGAGGCCTGCCTCTAGTCGACTTTCTCCCATTTCCGAAGTAGCACTTTCAAACGACTAAGAAGTTTTCAGTTGAAAGCTTTACGGAGGTGAATTGTCCTACCAACACAAGGTTGTTTATACTGGGTGATGATTGAAGGTGAGATGAATCATCACTCAGTATAAATACTGGCCTGTCAAACTACGGCTATCTCAGATTGTCAAATGATAATCAATTAGATGCTCCTCCTCTCTAATTCAGTTACATTTGGATTGGGATGAGAAGTCCTAACCAGGCAGCAAATGTGAATACGATCAAGCAGTAGTAACGCCTCAAGAATTCCCATGGTAGTCGGACAAAATACTTGGTGACCAAAGTGAAATAAAAATCTGGTCACCAGTCGGAATTCGTAGCTCAGTTGATACAGCATCGGGCCGGAATCCCGGTAGTCGCTGCTTCGAATTCGAACGCTGTTCAAATTTTCAATTCACTTTTAATCATCACCCAGTACAAGGTTGTTTGTCAATGAAACATGATTTGCAAATGAAACTACCTTTTTGTTTATAAGCTTGCTTTTTATGCTTTGATTTGAAAGAATGGATTACAAGTACCAATCTCAAATCCACCCATACCCAACTAATTGTCATGACTGAAGTCTTTGTTAAAAGAAGTCATTTTATGTTACAAAATATAACATAGATTGAAAATAGTTTTTTACAGATTTACGCTTATAACCATTTCAAAATATTGCTGAAAGTTCGTTCCGCTGTAGTGATATCCAAACAAATAATTCTTCTCTTCAAGTGATGACGGTAAGGAACAAGTAATCTAAATAAGAGTTCTCTAAACTTAAACTTATTTTCACCGTCAACATTTCATCGATACGATAAAAATCACTATCACTTCAATTCTAAAATTCATAATTGGTCCATATGAGTTAAAGGTAATAAGCACCTCTAATAATGAGTAAACATTTCCCATATCACCAATTTTAAAAGCTAAACGGGCAAAAATATCTTCATGGAGGTTTTTCGTTCGGCATTAAACTTACTCCATGAGTCTAAGTCATTCAATTAAATCGATGCAAAATTGATGGAAGGTATGTTAATTTATAAAGTTATACTTTTCAACTTAATTTTTATTGTGCACAACAGCTCTGACGGATTTGCATATTTTGTATTTGCAAACAATAGATCAAGTTGAACATAAATATACGGATGGCATGATTGATACAGACTCGCCGACAACAATTGTCGACAGTGTTGGCATGGTATTGTTTGCTGTCTATCATGGAATCATAATTATTGTCTTGGTGAATATGTTAATTGCTATGATGAGTCATTCATTTGAAAGTATTCAGGTAATGTGTGCCTTTTCTGAATTTCCTCTTATTGATTGCTTAAATGTTTGCAGTTACTCAAAAAAAATCAAACGGTAAATAATAAATTTTATTCACTCTATTTATCCCTAGTACTCAGTAGAACAAACCATTTACAAAGATGCTTATGTTTTCCGTCAATGAATCTTCAACAAAATTTTGGTGAGAAATAACCTAAGTCTCCATGAGACGAGTTCTACTTAATGATTCGCTCGCCAGTAGAGGGTATATCCAACTCAGTGAGTGCTGAACTTCCTATTATGGTGGAACTCGTATGTTGATAAAGTGGTAAAGTATCATAAGAACTGAAGTGGTTATTTTTCCCAAAATCTTACCACAGTTCTTATGATAAAAGTATGTAAACTGAAAATCATGAGAAAATAGGCGAATCGCAAGAAATTGACCACCGTAGTATTTTGCCAACCTTGACACGCTCACTAGAGAAGCAGAATGCTTTAAGTTCACACCTGAGGCAATTCAGGAGCATTCATTGCTTTTAGGACCTATAATAGTATGGAACTACCATCCTAAGTTTCTTCTGTTTCCTATTTTGTTTAGTTTCACTATGCAACAGTACAAACTTTCTATAGTTTACCTAGCTATCATGTGTCTGCTGATTGCGATTTTATTTGTTACCGTGCTCTTAGGAATTCTCTTGCAGTTTTTTAGTTAGATTGTTGTAATAATTCCACGTTGTTGTAATCGAAGTTGTGTCTCCTTCATTTAGATGCATCGACATCAGTGGTGATTTATTACTTTGTTTGACCGCTAGGCCATGCTCATAAATTCTTTGGCCTTTATGATGACTAGATTAGCCAACATGGTGATATTGACAGTATCTGCAACTAGATTTACAGATTATATTCGTCTTCCTTTATTTGGCTAATAGGTTCTTTAACTTGAAAAGATGTTCTGCGAAGATTTAACTGGTTTGTGTGTCACGGTGATACCGAATAGTTGAAGTAATCGGTTAACAGTTTTCTAGATATCCTTGATGTATCGTAAATTGATTCGCTTTGTCGGCTGAAGTAATTGTGCCAAGGTGTGTCCTGCTGATAGGCATTTCTTGACGAAGTTGACTGGACAGTCAGTGGTTCTGGACACCTTTTAAAAGAGTACTTTATCTGCAAAATACCAAATGTTGTGTCATATGACAGTGAATAGTCCAAAACTTTTATTTGCCTTACTAAAACAGTGTGCACAGCATCTCTAAAAAAATTACTATTTTTTCATAAATTAAATCCCTTCTTCTTTCATCAGTAAAGTGATCAGTGGGATGGTAGTAATGCATGGTATGGACATCAGTTAATTTTCTTTCTCAAAATACACTTCAAATGGTTATATTCACTAAACAGTGATCAACTCTCAACTTCATTATGTATTATCACCTACAAGTAAGTATATATCTCGTGAACAACTTAATGAGTCAGCCACTCAGTTTACGAACTGATGGTCATTATTAACCTGACCATCCTTAGTCATCTTTCAGTCAAATTCTGCTTTAAAAATTGTAACACGATAGCTGCATATAAACAGTTTATTCAAACGCAGAAACTTATCTAAATGTGTTAACTGAAATGTCAAATTCTCATGTTTGCTGTGTGATTTTACTACAGACAAGCTGTAACCTGAGTTCATTCCATATCATGCAATAGAAGAGATTGCAGTATTTCTAGCAAACTAAATCTTCTCATTCTCATGAAAGAGTGTTGTAACAAAAAGCCACTAGCTTTTATAAAAGTAGTCTATTGTTATCTTTAGTTCTATTTAGAGGGATCATGTAATCAACACCTTTGGCCACTTCACTCCAAACACTTGCTCCAAATAATAAGCTAAACAAACTTTTAGAAAATATGTTTCACTTGAGAGAAAGTTGAAGCCTATCGAAAGTAGCACAAGAATAATATAGTTAACTGTGTTGTAAAACTGCAGATTATGTACTAAATTATACCACCTCCAAACTGTTTTTCAATAAACTTTATTTGAATCTCTGTTTAAGGAAACCGTTTTCTAGAGCTTCAACCTGATGATCCCTTCATCTTCCCTATTATGATAATCGCTTTATTTGACCTCATTCGATTTTCATTTTCAAATGTGACGCTAATGACAGTGAATCACCTGAAAACTGTCTTCAAAATCCCATGCTAATACGAACTGCAAATTTATTGCTAACAGTGGCTTAGATGATATGACGGATATCTATAGCCCCATTGAATGTCTATTAACCATTATGGAATGAATCTTATTCCTTTAATAATTTTGAGTACTTAATGAAAATGATATTTAGAAATATAAGTAGTGACCAACAACTTTCTGTCCCATGGAAACCGTATACATCCATAGAAAGGCCTAAAACTTGACTTGCTTTTCAATTAAACAACCAGATAAACATAAAGTAACATCCACAACAAGACAATGTAAGAAAATGGGAGTTATAAAATTGATGCACATTTCTGAAGTGTGTAAATTCGTGAAAAACAAACTAATAGCTCCAGATATCTTTTCCATAATACGTAAGTATAGCAATTTAAAGTCACAATAAAGGTTCAATTTACAAAACAAAAAGAAAATCGAAAGCAATACAGCCTATCGAATCAATGAAAACTAATTTTAAAAAACAAATCTGCTGTCAAAAGAAAGAGATGAGTGTAAGTACATCCTAAGTGCTCATATTGTTCTTTTTTTGTATTTCCCAAAGTACTTCAACAACTCATAGACTACTGGGCTTGATTGCTTAGAAGTCGAAAAGTGACTGAAGAAGACAACTACATAACAGATTTTCAGCAAATAAAAATTCAAACTCCTTGTACAGTCGAATTCTACTGTTGCGTTCAAATATTACATACCATCATCAATGGTATAATGAATGAAATAAAAAGAAGAAGAGGAATGAATAGGTGTTCAAAATTCTTTATTAGTGACTGAGATCTAATCCATGAAGCATCAAAACGAAGCAGACTAAACCCTTCATATGAATATATTTCTTTTCAAGCGAAAATTCGTATGTGCATGAAATCTCACGCTAGCGCGAATAATTTACCAAATGAAACGTTATATTCATGAGACAACTGGCACACAGTGTGGATTACAGTATTATTTCGTCATAATATGAGGGCAGATGAACTCACCAAATCTAAGCTTACATGATTGCTGTTACTGCAGCTTGCATATAAAGAGAAATTGCTGCAATGATTTCGATTCGTTTCAATAAAGTTGTCACTTACGTACAAAATGCGAACAAGATGAAACAGAAATGATCTGACTTCCGACAGTAAAGAGTAGGTGGCCAATAAATTTTCATCAGCCGCTGCAGATCCATAGCTTTATGAGCTACAACAACAATGAAACATCAAAGCCAAGTGAACATCAGTATTCCCACTGTACCATCCCAAGTTATACCCATCAAGTTTAATCACAGTCGGTACCGACATCTCTCACGCAATATCATAATTTCAATGGAATATGTGATTCTATGAAGTAAGAGATATGTTAAATCGATGAGCCTCAATAAACATGAGTCCTGGGAATACGACTCCTTGCCAGGTATCGGCAACTTTCTAGTAAAAAGTCTTCATCATTAAATCAATTCTAATCCAAATAATTGTTAGATATAAAGCAGTATTCAGCATATATAAACATTTTAAAATAGATGACACTTCACGGATATATATGCTTCTTTATTAGTCAGTCCACTGAATATTTGATTTTTTAATGCACATGGAAAAAGCTGTGCTTTGTAGGTAGTCAGCGTATTAACATTAAAAATTAGTGTTAAATGTTGTAGATACATCAACCGACTTGTGACAGTGAATGTATTGTATTTCGACTGAGTTTTCTAATGAAACCACGCGAATCAAAGTATGTTAGTAGATACAACAGACAAAGCAAAAAGTGTTTACAATTTGGTATCTGTTACTATACTCACGGCCAGATCTCATGATTATTTCCTCTTTTTACGGAAACACTTTTGAACAAGTCTAAGTCAATCAGTAGAATGCGTTCTATTGATGAGGAGAGTAATATTCAATAGTGGTTATTCATAACAAGAGGTTTCTTTTGTGAAAAGCTGCCATCAGTAATTATAAATGTCAACATCTCAATTTTGAAGTTATATTTTGTTAAATAGCCAGTTTGATGGTTTTCTTTTATGTCATATATCTTTTCGCATACTGTTTCTAGGAGGACTGTGACGTGGAGTGGAAATTCGCGCGTACCCAGTTGTGGTTAAATTATATTGATAATGGTAGTACTCTGCCAGTTCCCTTCAATGTGATTCCAACTCCACACAGTGTGGCAAATGCAGTTAAATTTATACGTGACTTTTTCAAAGATGAAACAGGAGTTGTCAGCGGAAATATACGAAGTACAGACTTTGTCAAGGTTAGCGTGGCTTTACATTACAATATGCATTATTCTTTACAACACAGTTTTCGCCATGTATTTTTGATAAAAGCTAGGATTTTAAGGCTTTAACGTCTTGCATTGAACATTATGAACTTTTTCAGGAACTTACTACTTAACTACTTCTTTAGTTAGGAACCACTTGGACTCACCTGTAGATTTCGCCACCCAGGTACAAGTGATCTTAACATTACACGGCTATATCGCTCGTTTGAAACCAAGTTCATAAGCAGTGTACCCGGCTGGATTCATCTCAAAAAGCTGAACTGTTCAGATCATTCCAGTCTGGATAGCAGACTTAGATGGAACGGTATATCGTAAGTAGGATGACCAAATAGCGATGGTTTATAAATTGCAGGACCAAAGTTGACGTTTCTCCTAGCTGAGTAAGTTTTCAGTTGTCGAACTATAGAACGGCCTGAATAGTATCCAAACAATCAGTATATTTCGTCAGTATATGACACTTTAGTTTCTGAGGTCATACCTTGTGATCTTGGCTCCGGGTGATTTCCACCATGAACCCTGCTGTCACCATACTGAACAACTGAAAAACTTCTCAGCCGAAAGAAATGTCAACGTGGACAATGGAATTTGTAAGTCAATTTCAAACTGCATAAATTATCAAAAAAACTATTAATTTTTTAAGCTTCGTATTTGTTATCGAAAAGAGTTCCAAGCTTCGGCAAAAATATTTTTTAGTTGGCAACCGAACATTCGTCACTCAAGAGTAGAGTCACATTAGCCGTAATTGAACTACTTATAGTGTTGCTTACCTCTTCAAAAAGCTAGATAACTACACCATTACATGTATACCAAACTGGTTATAGTCGAACACTTTATACACTTAAACATTTAAGAGCTGACTCGAAGTTCTTTGTGGTCTCAAGAAACTATTTCTAAATCGTTTTCTTCGAGCGTATTCTTTTTGAAGGCTCCATAGATTGAATAATCCCACTGTGTTCTGCCACAGTTAGTTTTGCTCTATAATAATCTGACACAAAAATATCTCATGATTGGAAGATACGTTGTTTCCCCCCTGGTTTAATAAAACCTCATAAAGAATATAAAGTTAAGCATATCTAAATGAAAACGTACCTAAAGAGGATTGTATCAAGAAGATCATGTGTTAAAATTCTCAGTGAAGAGGAAAATAGACTTTTTAAATAGTGGAGAGTTTTCTAATTGATACCCTTTACTTACTACATAAATGAGAGTATGACTCTACAAACGAATTTTCGAACTGTTGCATTTCATTGTAGTCTACTTGGTGGCTAACAGTGGAACACAGGACGGGTAATTCATCCTGTTCGGGACTCGTCAGCTAGGTGTACCAGCACCCCGGTGGGTGATGTTATTCTCAATGAGACTAGAACCCAGTACTCATGGCTTTAAATACCAGAGTTATCCACTACGCCACTAGAGCACATGAGATGTCTCTTGTGCATATGTCTTAAATCATTTTCACTTACACAGAAAACCAAACAGGCTAATCAACAATATTCGGTCTTATTCCTCGCGTTATCTTTTTCCATTGAAATTTATTTCTAGTGTAGTGTGATCAAGTAGTAAACTGACTTAAAAATGACAACCTTGATGAAAGTAGGATGTATATATCATCTTTTATACTTGAAATTGAAATACAACTCAAAAAGTGAATACGTATCAGTGTACTTGAGCATGTATATCACGGAACGTGTGCAGACTAACAGTACTCAAGCGTTTAAACATCAACTAGCTGATTGCTTTCATACCCCATGACCGGTTTTGCATTCAAACTGCTCAGTCATAGAACCATCGAAATAGCAGCTACGAAGTCTGGTGCAGTGGTGACTAGTTCAGTCAATATTCGGAGGTGAATGTTTAGTAAGGTTTATTTTCTAAAGAGCTTTATACCCATAGTTCATCTTTAGTCATTCTGCTCAGCACTTCGTTTTCATAAATGAATTGATGTTGGAGTCAATTTCTCCAAATGCAGTTATCCAAAAGTGTTCTAAGTGGATCCACTTAAAAACTCTATCACATCAAAAAATATCATCAACCAACTGAATGCGAGCAGTCCTTCTAGCAACTGTCCCTCAGTTACAGCAAATGGTGCATAACTAATTGCAGAAACTTAACAATTCTGTCAAGTAGTGTATTATAAAACAAGCATTCTAAATGAAAGGACTACCTTCATCAGTTAAAGAACATGGATTTGACCTACAGACACACCTGAATACTGGCAGCTGATTTCCAACGGAAACTGAATTTCTCTGAACAATCTACGTCAGTTTAAATGCACTAAAATTTGAACGCTTTGACAACCTACTTGGCTGACACTATGTGGAGGAAAAAAAGAAACGAAATGCAGATTTCAAGGCGGTATTCATCATGAACTGACATTAAGCGATGGACCACTGAAAAACTTGAAGCACTGGACAGCTGCTTTATCCCAATGTGGTACTCCCCAGTAGTGCGTATCTATGACTCCACCAGTGGTTCAACCTAGGACCTACTGGTATTGCTGTAAGCGCATGATTATTGAGTCACTAAATCAGAATGGAATGATCTGCTTTTTCGAACTCCTATGAATTTATCATATCATATATATCATATAGAGTTCTTGGTGAGTATTTGTCCTCATACCAGACTTGGTTGACTTCCTAGGATACGAATTCGCATTAGTGCCTTGGTAAGTCTCTTTGGAAGTATATCATTAGTGAGCACTGAAACACAGATTGATAGGAATTTGATTTTGATCAAAAAACAGACAGATCTTTGTGAACGTACTCTGCTAATATGGGTGTAAATTGAAAATCTGGTCGGCAGTCTGATCTCATAGTTTAGTTGGTAGAGCATCGTTCCGGAAACCCGGTGGTCGCAAATTCGAATCCCTCAGCGGCCCATTTCACCTTCAACCGTCAGCCAGTATCAATACTAGTCCTCCATACCACGACTGTGATAACTAATATCACATAAAACTTGTCGTAACTTTAATACAACCTGCGAGTTTGATTGTTTTAGACAAAGTGAGAATATGTTAATATAGCCTCTGCATTTAAAATGGAAATCTATCGCATGTACGTCTTATGAAATTATTGTAAATAATAGTGCCTTTGATCAATTAGATGGCTGCTATTCAAACTGTCAGGCAATGTTTTGCATGGTCATTTTTGTCTCACAGTTTGCAGTGAATTGACGCGTTTACGATACCAGAAGCTTAAAAAATGTATATAATCAAAGGTAACAAACAACCGATTCAAGCAACTAGAATAGCAGTGTTTCACTTCTATTCTAAATTTCAATGTGACTTAATGAATCATGAACACGTTCACTACGTTTTAAGCCAAATTAGTCAAACAAAATGATGCAGAAGAAATATACTACTAAATGGCATGTGTAACTGAAAACGGCATAAGGTGACCTACAGATGCAATACAGTGAAAATGAGAAACAGTTTAGAAATACTTGTCTACTGTGATTTAATTGTATAGAAATAAATTAAATCGCTATTGTTTCTTTTAGTATGATAACTCTGGTTGTTACCACTACTGATTACTGAACAGTTTGAGACAGTCTTAGTTGACAGTAAGTCTAACTGCTGAGAAGCAGTCATATCTCTTAAATCAATTTGAACGATTCGTATGCCAAAGGTCATTCATCCGAACCAAGTTTTTGGTTCACTCCTATCATCATCCACGTACAACATTTCTATAGATGATATTGTTAGCATCATCAAAATGTTTCATGGATGAGAGTTGGCAGTCTACTCACGTGAAATCCTAATTTCGTAATGCTTCTGTCCAGAATACAGCAGAAGTTCTTATACTTGATTTACTGAACTATCAATAATGAACTGGTGTAATAAGACAACCTGTCTGCTGAAACAAAGAGCGAGCTCTTTTTGTTACATCGCGATAGCAGTTTGATAAACAAATGCAAAGAAGTAATGTAGCCAGGTGGCTGATATTACGCCGCATACTTTCTTAAGACACATACATCTTATCGTAACCAGCAATCTATTTTCAAGTGGTATTTATCCATATTGTTTGTATTCTGATGAATAATCCTTCCAACAAACGTGTAAGACATTCTTACTATATTTTCTAGAAAAAATGGCTTACTCAATTGATATTTAAATAGTGAAATGTTCCGTTACTATCCATGCCTCTGGGTACTCTATGCAACTGAAAAGGTGGATGAAACTTGTGTTTGTTTGATGGAGGCGGTGGGCAGAAAGCCTTGCACATAGGTTTTGTGCTTCTTCCCAAAATGTATCTTCAACCCCACGGGGACTGAATTCTCTTGAGAAATCCAACCTCTCTTTATCCAGTGTTGTAGTCAGAGACGTTGCACCAAAAAACCAATCAGGTGGAGAATAACCTCCAGGGGGACTAGGTGATATACATTGTTTGGTTAATAAAGAGTATCAATTTCATGTTTAGTTTTAATTACTAACCGAATTCTGCCAATCATTTATCTAAGTCTAAGGCTGCTCGTGGATTGCCCCCACTACCTAATATCAACCAAAGTCCACTGAGATGATAAGTTTCCTAGTAGGCTAACCATATTTCAAAAATCATCAACAGCACTTTGTGAGCAATTTTGACTAGGGAACATGAAACTGGTTATTCCTAAGTAGGTAACCAATGTAGATGAAATCATGTGAACCAGTTTAAACAACAAATATTCACAAAGACCAGAGTGCATTCTGTAGTTATCTTACATATATTTGTTTCTGATTTGCTAATCAACATATTGACTAGAAGTTTATATCACTTCTTTAACTTTTAGCTATGGGATCAGTAGCAAAGTCCCACCTATATAAAGATTTTTACTGGTGTTCATTATTTCTTAGAAAGCCATCGATATCTCACCGTCTAGTTTCCAGCACTAATCGAATTCTGTCAACAAGGTGCCTAAAGTGACCACCAGAATGAATGACTCAAAATCAGTAAGAATCATGTATTGTGTTGCACATTTTCGTGTAATCAATAGGA